TTACGATAATGATGATGGGTTTAGCTATGATAATGTTACCGATGATGAAGCTCGCTATGATGATGTTAATGGGTGTCATTATGATGATGATTATAGTTACGATAATGATGATGGGTATAGCTATGATAATGTTAATGGGTGTCATTATGATGATGATGTTTATAGTTACGATAATGATGATGGGTTTAGCTATGATAATGTTAATGGGTGTCATTATGATGATGATGATTATAGTTACGATAATGATGATGGGTATAGCTATGATAATGTTAATGGGTGTCATTATGATGATGATGTTTATAGTTACGATAATGATGATGGGTATAGCTATGATAATGTTAATGGGTGTCATTATGATGATGATGTTTATAGTTACGATAATGTTGATGGGTTGTAATTATGATCATGATGATGGTAACAGATGTGATTATTATGATGATGATAATATTCATAATAACCATGATAATACTAATAAAATAATAACAATAATAACTAAAATGAGTATAATAATGATGATTATGATGATAACATATTGAATACGAAATTATAAAATTTAGGGGGTGGGGCAATAATAATGATAATAATGGAAATAATAATTACAATAGTTGCGATAGTAGTAATAACAATTATGAAAATATTGATATAGCAGTATGCTGTTATTACTGTAAAGATAACGATATGATTGATAATGAAGCTGTTGATAAGTATGATGATACTGAAGATGATAGATGACTGATGATGGCGATGACAGCGTGACAAACAAACAAACAAACAAGAAGACCCCCCCTCCTCCTTCCCCCTGTAGGCAACCGTATACTATCTCGCCTACCCCCCCCCCCCACCCTCACCCCATGCTTGTACTTTATTTATATCCCTTCAGGGTATATCATGCCCCCCCCCCCTGTGGTAGTGTGTGTTGAGAAGGGGGGGGGGACCGTGGCGATAATGATAACAATAATGATAACGATATGATAATATATAGATAATATATAAAAAATATTATAATAATGATAACAATATGATAATAACATTAGCATTATAATCATTAATTAAAATAATAATAATGATAATAATAACAATATCATTATTATCATATAATGATGATGATGATGACGTGGATGAAAATGATAATGAGGACCGTGAAGATAATCATGACAATAACAATGATGATGACGACGACGATGATGATAATGAGAAGGGCGATGGTGATGATGATGATGACGATGATGATAATGATGACGATAACAATCATTATGATGAAGATGATGACGACGGTGATGATGATAATAACAGCGACAGCAACAATACTACTACTGCTACTAATACTAATGATAATAATAATGATAATAATAATGATAATAATGGTAATAATACTGATATCAATGATAACAATAACAATAAGAATTATATCAATAACGATAATAATAATAATAATCATAACGTTAATAATAGCAAGAACAGCCGCAACGACAACAAATATAATAAATAAATAGGGAATTACATAAATAAACGTGCTTTAACCCCCTCCCTTCTGACTACTAAAGATATTTATTTTTTGTTGCTTTGGTAAAAAGTGAAATACCGTTGTTGGCATTATCATCTGTCAATACTGTTCATATTTTGATATTCTTTATTATCATATTCAAATCTAATACACACATGCACACACACACACACTCACACACATAAATCCACACGTATCTGTGAACTGACTGTCTGTATGTTGTCATTGTGTCTGTCTCTGTCTCTACCATGTGTCTGTCTCTGTCTCCATCTTTTTCCGTCTCTTTATCTGCATCCATCCGTTTCCCCTATTCTATCTCTGTCTCTGTCACTTCTTTCTACCTCCGTTTCTATGTGTTCTCCTCTGCTTCCATCTGTTCTCCTATCTATATCTCTATTTTCTCCCTTCCTTTCTCTCTCAATCTATCTATCTACCCACCTATCTCTCTCCCCTTTCTCCTATCTCTCTCCCACTCACCTTCAGCGATTCGGGTTCCTATGACTGCATCGAGGTTCATCTGAGCTGTGTGTCCTCGGTAGTACCACAGGACTCTCCAGCAGGCGTCCATGGCCTTCCTCAGCATCTGCATGTCGGGTTGAGGTCCTTCTCGAGCCGAGGACGACCTCCCTTCCCTCGGCACCATGACTTGTCCGTCCCTCTGGCGGTACAGCGGAGGAAGCTTTCGCAGCAACGGGAACTGGTCGTCGAAGAGGATGTCCACCGACGAGAGAACAGGTGACCCGTAACTGCCATAGGTCACGCTCGTTAGGAGTGTGATTACGGGCAGGGCGTTGGCGGTCGCAAGCATCGCGTGAGGCGGATGAAGGGAAAAGTGATAAGAGAATACGAAAGGAAATTAATCTGAGACACCGATGGCACCAGGTGGAAATGGCAAGCGACCGCTGCAGGTGCCAGGACAGGAAACAGAGAGAGAGAGGTTCCTCGCACCTCTCACCACTGCTTCCAGAGCGTGAGTGCTGGCTGCTATGAATTCCCTCCGCCCAAGACCCCTTCTCTCTCTCTCTCTCTCTCTCCCTCTCTACCCCCATTCCCTCTCTCTCTCTCTCCCTCTTCCTCTCCCTCTCTACCCCTCATTCCCTCTCCCTTTCTCTCTTCCTTTCCCTCCCTTCTCCCCCACCCCCCTCTCTCTCTCCCTTCCCTCCCGCACTCACTTCCTTTTTCCCTCTGTTCCTTCCCCCAATCCCCCCCCCCCCTCTCTCTCTCTCTCTCTCTCTCTCTCTCTCTCTCTCTCTCTCTCTCTCTCTCTCTCTCTCTCTCTCTCTCTCTCTCTCTCTCTCTCTCTCTCTCTACCCACCCACGCCGAAAGCTGACAACCAAGGAATTCTCTTCCGTCAACTTTTATATATCCTACTGTTTGTAAATCATTGTTATAAAACATTCCGCGAATCTCATGATAAATCCAGAACTAACTTGTTATTTCCTAATCATCTGAGAGAACGAAGATATTCCGAGATTTTCCTTTTTTAACTTTAGGTATGTCAACTAATTCAGAGGAAATGAATCTAAGAAAATCTCGATTAAAGTTCTAAATACGGAAAGAGTAACTGGAAGTCTGACTCTGTGAAAATCAAACAAATATAAACTGTAAGATGTGTGTTCAGACTAAATGAAAACAGTGATTATTGTAAGAAAAATGAAAGACAAAGAGCGTTTCTAAGTCTATTAAGTCTGGCTTTAATTACTTAAACCTTGATTTGGGGAAAATGTGAATTTAGGTTAAATCGATTTTTTTCATCAACATTTTTAACATTATCATATCGAAAGAAGAGTAATATATATAACTTGTGGATTATCTTTATGGTGACCAGCAAATGAAATGTGTCAATGAAGATCCAAACACACTCGGGTACACATATTTGTCCATATCAGCAACTAGCGTATATACATGAGTGTAAGATCGGAGAAGTATAAAACCTCGATTATGTGAACTTCAAAAGAAAGACACACAGAATAGGAAACGGTGCACACAATATACACTAACCGCCATGTATGAAAATGAATCAGGTGCAATACATACATTTCAAATAATATTTTGTTAGAATTACTTTTCATTCTCCTTATAACTTGTTTGAGATAATGATTGCGTCTTGTTTACTTATAACATACAGTAAGTGATGGGTATTTAGTTTTAGTCATTTCAGTTCGTCTTTAAAAATAAAACACTCCGTCCCCGCACACACACACACACACACACACACACACACACACACACACACACACACACACACACACACACACACACACACACACAACACATAATATATATGTATACACAAACACACACACATATAACTCTACAGACATGTATGTATTCCTTTATATGCATATATAGTCTCCTTTCTTCCCCCTTTTCTCTCCTTCGTTCCTCCCTCCTTTTCCACCCCTTCCCCTTCTACCCCTCCCCCCTCCCCCCCCTCCCCCCACCACCGTTCCCCAAAACAAACACGCGAGTTGTAAGCCAATTAAGGGACCGTAATGTTACTACTGTAAATATAGACGACAACACGGGCGCTCTAACGTAGGAGGTCGAACTAGGGCGCGAGAAGACACTGGAAGGCGGTGCGTGTGGGCGTGATTGGGAGGCGCAGCTGGGAAAGGTAAAATGATTTTAGTTTTTACTTTTTTTTTTTAATACGTTGATGTGTTAGAATAGTAGGATTGATATGGGGAAGGTGTTGTGAATATAATTTTTTTCTTAAAGGTGATGGGACGCTGATGGGAAGAGTAAAATTATTATTTTTACTTTTTTTTTTTTTTTTTAATACGTTGATGTGTTAGAACAGTGGGATTGATATGGGGAAGGTGTTGTGAATATAATTTTTTTTCTTAAAGGATACGCTGATGGGAAGAGTAAAATTATTAATTTTTTTTTTCCTTTTTTTTTTTTTTTAAATACGTTGATGTGTTAGAATAGTGGGATTGATATGGGGAAGTGTGTGAGTATAAGAATTTTTTTTTTGAAAGGTGATGAGACGCTGATGGGAAAAGTAAAAATTATTATAGTTTTTTTATTATTTTTTTTTAATACGTTGATGTGTTAGAACAGTGGGGTTGATATGGGGAAGGTGTTGTGAATATATTTTTTTTGAAAGGTGATGAGACGCTGATGGGAAGAGTAAAATTATTACATTTTTCCTTTTTCCTTTTTTTTTTTAAATACGTTGATGTGTTAGAACAGTGGGATTGATATGGGGAAGGTGTTGTGAATATAATTTTTTTTTCTTAAAGGTGATAGGACGCTGATGGGAAGAGTAAAAATTATTATTTTTTTCCTTTTTTCCTTTTTTTCTTTAAATACGTTGATGTGTTAGAATAGTGGGATTGATATGGGGAAGGTGTTGTGAATATAATTTTTTTTTCTTAAAGGTGATGGGACGCTGATGGGAAAAGTAAAATTATTATTTTTACTTTTTTTCCTTATTTTTTTTTTAAATACGTAGATGTGTTTGAACAGTGGGATTGATATGGGGAAGGTGTTGTGAATATAATTTTTTTTCTTAAAGGTGATGAGACGCTGATGGGAAAAGTAAAATTATTATTTTTCCCTTTTTTCCTTTTTTTTTTTTTTGTTTTAATACGTTGATGTGGGATTGATATGGGGAAGGTGTTGTGAATATATATTTTTTTCTTAAAGGTATAGGACGCTGATGGAAGAGTAAAATGATTATAGTTTTTACTTTTTTTTCCTTATTTTTTTAAATACGTTGATGTGTTAGATAGTGGGATTGATATGGGGAAGGTGTTGTGAATATTTTTTTCTTAAGGTGATGGACGCTGATGGGAAAAGTAAAATTATTATTTTTACTTTTTTTCCTTATTTATTATTATTATTTTTTAAAAATACGTTGATGTGTTAGAACAGTGGGATTGATATGGGGAAGGTGTTGTGAATATAATTTTTTTTCTTAAAGGTGATGGGACGCTGATGGGAAGAGTAAAATGATTACAGTTTTCCTTTTTTTTCCTTATTTTTTTTAAATACGTGATGTGTTAGAACAGTGGGATTGATATGGGAAGGTGTTGTGAATATAATTTTTTTTCTTAAAGGTTATGGGACGCTGATGGGAAGAGTAAAATTATTATTTTACTTTTTTTCCTTTATTTTTTTAAATACGTTGATGTGTTAGAACAGTGGGGTTGATATGGGGGAAGGTTTTGTGAATATAATTTTTTTCTTAAAGGTTGATGGGACGCTGATGGGAAGAGTAAATTATTATTTTTACTTTTTCCTTTTTTTTTTAAATACGTTGATGTTTGAACAGTGGGATTGATATGGGGAAGGTGTTGTGAATATAATTTTTTTTTCTTAAGGTGATGGACGCTGATTGGGAAGAGTAAAATTATTTTTTCCTTTTTTTCCTTTTTTTTTAAATACGTTGATGTGTTAGAATAGTGGGATTGATATGGGGAAGGTGTTGTGAATATAATTTTTTTTTTCTTTAAATGTGATGGGACGCTGATGGAAAGTAAAATTATTATTTTTACTTTTTTCTTATTTATTATTATTATTATTTTAAATACGTTGATGTGTTGAACAGTGGGATTGATATGGGGAAGGTGTTGTGAATATAATTTTTTTTCTTAAAGGTGATGGACGCTGATGGGAAGAGTAAAAATTATTATTTTACTTTTTTCCCTTTTTTTTAATACGTTGATGTGTTAGAAAACAGTGGGTTTGATATGGGGAAGGTGTTGTGAATATAAATTTTTTTTCTTTAAAGGTGATGGGACGCTGATGGGAAGAGTAAAAAATTATTATTTTTACTTTTTTTTCCTATTATTATTTTTTTAAATACGTTGATGTGTTAGAACAGGGGATTGATATGGGGAAGGTGTTGTGAATATAATTTTTTTCTTAAAGGTGATGGACGCTGATGGGAAGAGTAAATTATTATTAGTTTTTACTTGTTTTCCCTTTTTTGTTTTTTAATACGTTGATGTGTTAGAACAGTGGGATTGATATGGAAGGTGTTTAATATAATTTTTTTTCTTTAAAGGTGATAAGACGCTGATGGAAGAGTAAAATTTTATTTTTACTTTTTTTTTCCTTTTTTTTTTAAATACGTTGATGTGTTAGAACAGTGGGATTGATATGGGGAAGGTGTTGTGAATATAATTTTTTTTTTCTTAAAGGTGATGGGACGCTGATGGAAGAGTAAAAATTATTTTTTTTTTTTTTTTTTTTTTTTTTTTTTTTTTAAATACGTTGATGTGTTAGAACAGTGGGATTGATATGGGGAAGGTGTTGTGAATATATATTTTTTTCTTAAAGGTGATGGGACGCTGATGGGAAGAGTAAAATTATTATTTTTACTTTTTTTTCCTTTTTTTTTTAAATACGTTGATGTGTTAGAACAGTGGGATTGATATGGGGAAGGTGTTGTGAATATAATTTTTTTTCTTAAAGGTGATGGGACGCTGATGGGAAGAGTAAAATTATTATTTTTACTTTTTTTCCTATTTTTTTTTTTTTTTAAATACGTTGATGTGTTAGAACAGGGGATTGATATGGGGAAGGTGTGTGAATATAATTTTTTTTTCTTAAAGGTGATGGGACGCTGATGGGAAGAGTAAAATTATTATAGTTTTTACTTTTTTGTTTTCCTTATTTTTTTTAAATACGTTGATGTGTTAGAACAGTGGGATTGATATGGGGAAGGTGTTGTGAACATAAGATGAAATCATTCGAAAAGTGATGAGACGCAGCTGGGAAAAATAAAATGATTTTCGTTTTTACTCTTTTCTTTTCATGATTTTCGTTTTAATTTTTTATTTATTTATTTATTCTTTTTAATACGTTGATGTGTTAGAAGAGTGGGATTGATATGGGGAAGGTGTTTGAATATGGGAAGAAATTATTTAAAAGTTGATGAGTTGTAAATGCATACATTTTATAACTAACAGCTGGTTGGTATATCTGTTCAATATTGCACATCGCCAGCTTCTCAACTGGATGTGTAGGTGTAAATAGAAAT